CTTATCTGTTTATCTATATTCTCCAATTCTTCTAGTTTATATTTGACAATACTAAATCAATATCTTAATTTGACTGTATAGATTTTTGGATTACTATATTAAAATAATTAAAGTTTCATATTAACTTTATAAAGATAAAAAAGAATCTTTCATATTAACATTTTATATTAAAAAAACTTAAATCAATAAATACATTATTATTTGAAGTATTACAAAGAAAAAACAAACTAATAATATTAGCATTAAAAAAACTCAATCAAATCAATTAATTTTTTGGAAGGTATGATGATTGTTGAATTCCAACCTCTTTAAAAGCATTAAATACACTTACTTTAACATCTTTCATTTTTTCGTCTACAATTTGAATTTTATTTTGATATTCTTGAATATAATTTTTATACACTTCTATTAAACGATTATTCTTTTCTAGTGTTTTTTCTTTAATAAAATTAAGTCGTTGTTCTTGTTGAACTCGTTGATGATTAAGTTCTTCTATTTCTTTGTTAAGAAGAGCTAATTGATCTCCTAATTTAGTTGCTTCTTTAAATTCTTTTTCATATTCAGTACGATCAATAGAAGCATATTTTTCTTCAATACTCTTAATTTCTTCTTCAATTTTATTTCTTTTAGTAATAATTACTTTCCATTTCTTTTCAGTAGTATTAATCGCTTCTTCTATTCCTTTTTCAACTTGTTTTAATTCATCAATTTCTTTTTTGATTTGTCCACTTGTTGTATTTAAATTTCTAATCTTTTCTTCATTTGCTTTTTGAATTGTTTTACATTGAATAATATTTTTTTGAAGAACTTCTAAACTGTTTTGTATATTTTCGAGTGTTACTTTATCCATTAAATTATTTTTATCAATTGGTACTTCTTTTTCAGTCTTTTTAATTAATTCTTTGACTTGTTCAATAACAATATTAAGTTCTTGTTCTTCATTTTTTACAGCAATAGTTTCTTCTTTAAGATGCTCATTTAATCGATTTATTTCTTTCTTTTGTTCTTCATTTTGAATTTCAAGCATTTGAAGATCTTTTCCTTTTCCAACTTTACTGTCCAATTGTTTTTTTTCTTCGAGAACATTTTGCAACTCATTTTTTAAGCTTTTTTCTTCACTTTCTCTTTGTTGTAAAACTCCTTTCTTTAGATCTCTTTCATTTCTATAATTAATTCTTTCTTCTTCAAGGACTTTCCTTTGATTTATAATTTCTTCACATTGTAACTTTAAATTTTCTACAGCATATGGAACATAACTCATCTCTTTTATTTCTTCATTAAGTCTTGACAATTTTAATGTTAAATCATCTTTTAATGTTTCTAATTCACTCATTCGTGTACTTATCATTTCTTCTAATTTCTTTGATACCATTAATTCTGTTTGGTGATTTACACAACTCTGAAGTGCACATTGTTCACATTCCATTGCAATTGTTTCTTCTACTAATTCATCTTCATCTAATAAATCTTGTTTCATAGCATCAATTCCTTCACACACAACATCTCCTGCATCTTTTAACCAGGTTAATGACCCTAACATAAATGACCAACAATGTGGAGCTGAAACATGTGACAATTGATTTGCATTAAAATTATGACCTAACATAGAAAATAATAGTGACAATGTTTGTTCTTCTCTTCCCTCATGAACAACAAAGTTAGGAATAATTCTCCGGGCTAATAATTCAACCATAATTATGTATTCCCTACTTGTTGGTAATTCTTCTTTTATTCTTTTTAAATCTCTTAGAGTTACCTTATAATTTTCTGTTTGTGTTTTTGTTAAACAATAATCCTCATAGTTAAGTTGTTCTAAAAACGAAACTAATTCATTCCATTTTTGAGTACGATACTCAACATTAATATGCCATGGTCTATTATCAATATGCTTTGGTTGACTAGTAGACATAAAGTCATGAAGTTGATAAAACTCATCAGCTTTTCTTGTTTTAATCTTTGTCCTATTTGATAACATATATAATGATTATTGCTTCTAATATTTCTAAGATCAAAAAGAGAAAAAGAGATTGAAAAATAGATAAAAAGAAATGAAAAGATAAATTCTTAAAAAATAAAAAAATCTTAAAAAATCTCTTCAAAACCCTTTATCATGAAACGTTGTCTTGAAAGTAATGGAAAAAAAAGATTACAAGATGAAAGTGATGAACAAGACATCTGTGATGATTGTTGTTGTGATAGAGACTTCCCTGAGTTATCTAATTTTAAAATGATTGGGAAGTTTGAAGGAAAAATTAAATTCTTCAATGGAAACTTTGAGTTTGATGGAAAATTTGATGGAACTGTTGAATCAAATCAAAATGAGGTTTTACCAGAAGGTGAAGAGTGTAATTCTGAAGAGCTTGAGTCTGCAAAAAAGAAATTGTTAGGCACTGGTGATAAACTTCAACTTAGCTCAAAAGAAGAAGAGGAAGAAGCACTCTCTGTTGCTTCTGACGATTCAAGTGAAGAAGAAGAAAAACCTAATAAAAAGCATTATGATGCTGCTAAATTACAAAATCCACCAACTGCAGAAGATTGCAAAACACAATAATTTTAATTTTTTTGTTATTTGATTTAATAATAAAATAATGATTAATTCAATGATTTTAAGATAGATAAACATAAAATAAAGTATATAAAAAATATTTCGTAGTTTTTTTTCGTAATTATATATTTTTATTATTTTCTATTAATTTTTATTTAAATATTATATTATTGAATAGATGAACTTAATAATCTGTTAATCTGTTGTTTTGTTTTTCATGAAATATGTATTTATTCTTTTACTTATTACAGCACTGTCAAAAGCAAAAGTGTTACAAAACTCTCCGTGTTTTGTTTGTTTTTTTTTCTATTACAGAATATATAATTTTAAACTTTAAAAACAAAGAGAAATAAAATTTGTTAAAAGAAATTAATGATATAGCCGAATTATCATATTGAAAATTTTAAAAATGTACAAAATAAGAATGGACTTGGTTTGTTATCTCCTGACATGAAAATAGTTCATGATTGTTATCAAGATGTTCCTAATCAAGAAACAAATGTTATGGGTTATTCCTCACATACTAAATGTTATGTTTCTACTGGAATGTTTTTTGAACTTTTTCATGAAAAAAAAATTCCACGTTGTGGTCAATGTTTAGAACTTCATAGTGTAAGTCTTAAAACAACTCATTGTATTATTTCTGGTTCATTTGAGATAACTAACACTACAAATAAATATATCAAATATACAAATAAAACTATTGTTGTTGACCCTGATTTATTTATGATGTTATCTGGTTTTCATAAAGAAACTGCTACTGATGTGTTACCTGCATCAATTAAATATGTCGACTGTTTATATAAAACATATCCAGCTGCTGTATTAACAAAAGTTGATAATAATATAACTGAAGTAGTTTTATTTAATACTAATGTAATTGTTGAAAGTTTACTATTTCAGCAATCATATCATTATGCTGATATTACAACAACAAAATTTACTTTATCAACTCCAACCAAAAATGGTCAAATTGATACTGATAAAATATACCAAATAAAATTATTCAATTTTATTGGTTCTTCAATTTTTATTAATATTAAATTTATACCTAACACTACATTTATCTCTTCTACTCCATTTCCAATAACTTATAATGAATCAACTTCTTTGTGTTCTTTTATTCCACAGGCAAATATAATTCTTAAAGATGGAATTATGGGAGGCGTCTCTGAAGATATTGCTGATGATGATTTCTTTTCATGGGAAATTGGATGTCAGCCAACAGGTGATCCATTACCGTATACTCCATTAACAAAGAATGACCCATCATTTATTTTTGAGAATGAGATTGTTGGTTATTCTATAAAATATCCAGTGCCTATTAGAATTAGTGAACATTACCATTATATTACTTTAATTACTGAGAGTGATAATCCTATCAATTTAACTTATCCAAAAATTTATTCCCTACATGGATATGATTTAAATAATCTAGAATCATTCTCTTGTGGTAGTTTAGTTTTCGAGTATAATATAACTAAACAACCAACAAATACATATAGATTAGAATTTCGAATCAATTTGCTATTATCAAAATGCCATGGCTTTTGTTTGTTTCTTTTTATTCTTTATCATTAATAAGAAAGAATTGACTCACACCAATAGCTAACTTCTATATCCTTAGGTTTAAAACGACAACTGGAACAAAAATGACAATCATGGAAAATTATTGGACTAACAGACATGCTTTGAATTATACGGTTTGTAATAATTCATTTGAGTGTGAAATAGGGGATGAGTGTGACCCAACTGAATCAAATTTAAGTCCTTTGTCAAACCAAATACAAAAGAATTATACAAAAGGGTGTGCTCCATTTTGTGGAGTTTGTCCATTTGGATATTCATGTAACCAAGCTGCAAGATGTGTTAAAAATTCAATTCATAACACAAGAAGTGATAGCTTAAGTATCTTCATTGGTCTTTCTACAATTCTTTTAATGTTAATTTGAATTGTTTGTTTATATTATTTTAAGTTGAATGGGTATAATCTCCTAATCACAATATTTAATCTTTTTTTATTTTTATTATGTAGAACTTAAAAGTTTTATTCCATAAAACAAATAGCTAGTATCCACTTATTTAAATTTTACAACTTCTTATTGTATTAAAATTTCCTACTTTCTTGATGACAAAAAAGAAATTATACAAAAGTAGGGTTTGGTTGCAAGTCGTTTTTATTATTGATAGAATCTACATTTGATAATTCAACAGCTTACAATGTCTGTAATGTTAAGAGTAGTAACTATTCAATTGGGTATGCTAATGGTTTATCAACAACTGGAAAGCAATAGCATAATTTTGAAAAAAAAGAAAAGAGAAAGTATATAATTCATAACATCACAACAAATAAAATTCGTGTTTGTTTCAAATTTATTGAGACATTAAAACTCAGGAAACAAAACTTATTGTTTCAGACAACACTTTAAAAATTTCCAGAAAAATCTGTTTTTAGAGTAATATTTTAAAGAAAAACTATAGAAAAGAAGAAAAATAAAAAGACAAGAAATAATGAGATCTAATTTAGCCAATTATATAAAAGGAACTTATCTATAAAACCCTATATAATGCAACCATCAATTCACGATTACTTCTCAAATGACCAAACAATTGATAAACCAGTGCATGAGAGAATTGACAAAGATTTTTATGCCTCTCTTCCAAAAAAACCAGTTGAAGAACCAGATTGCCAAAAAAAGGACATCTATTGTAATGCTTTTAAAGTTAATTTCTCTTCAATGAATTTAATAAATTATGAAGCTCGTTTTGAACCAGACACTGAAAATACCTCATTAAAGAGAGCACTCCTTTTTGCCCATTTCCAACGTAGAGTTATTACTGATGGTAGAATGGTTTCAGTTCCAGAAGAAGTTCCAGAAGATAAACGAAACTTCCAAATTAAAGCAAGAAGTCAACAAGTTTTTGAAGTTGAACTTGTACCTGCTACTGGATCAAATGACCTTGATATTCAAAAAGCTAACATGTTATTAAAATCAATTATTATTGATGGAAATAAAAAAATGATTTCATGGAAAAAGAGTTTCTTTGATGTAAGTAAACCAGAAGAATTTACTTCAGATAGAGGAAATAGACTTGCTGTTCTTCAAGGGTTTTCATCTACTACACAAATCTTTGATACAGATCCATATCTTGTCATTGACAAATCTTTTAGATGTTTGAGAACACAAACTTATTTGGATTCAATTCGTTCAAAAGATCAAGACACAATTAAAAAAGAATTCCAACCAATGGTTCTTTATAATAGTCAAACTAAAAGATTAGAAAAAATTGATGACATTGATTTTGGAAAAAATCCAAGCTTTAGCTTTACTCGTAAAGATGGAAGTTCTGTTTCTATTGCTGAATATTATAAACAACGTTATCAAATTGAAATTAGAGACATGGACCAACCATTACTTGTACAAAAGAAAATTGAAAAAGATTCAGAAGGAAAAGAAGTTGAAAAACAACCATGTTATTTTGTTCCAGAACTTATGAGACTTACTGGTATGTCAGATGATATGAGAGCTGATAATCAATTTATGAGAAAATTAGCTGATTTGTTTAGTGCTGACCCACAAAAGAAAATGGATTCACTTAAAAGTATTGTTGATGGTAATATACAAAATATTCCAGACCTTAAACAATGGAAAATTAATGTTGAAAGAGAACCAGCATGTTTCCCATCTTATGTATTACATAATCCACAAATTATTTCAAAGAGTAGAAATATTGATGTGCCAAGTAATCGAGATTGGAGAACTGATATAAGAAACTTTAATTTTTATGATTTAAAACCATTAGATAGATGGACTGCTATTGTACCAAGTCAATGTATGAATGAATTTAATTCATTTGAACATCAACTTGGTAATTTCTATGATCGTTTGAAAGTTTCATATAGACAACCTAATATTATTAATTTAAGTGGAACAAATATTGATCAATATAAACCAGATTTAAAGAATAGTTCTATGGTATTAGCTGTTTCTGTTACAGATAGTATCTATGAACAAATTAAGAAATTTTGTGTTGATGAAAATGTTCCAACACAATGCATTAAACCAAATACTTTAAGAAGACAACCACCTACACCAATTATTCAAATGATTACATTACAAATGCAATCTAAGATGGGAGGAATTCCATGGAAAACTGAAATTGATTCAAGCTTTGCTGATGGTATGACAGTTGGTATTGATGTTATTTCAGCAGGCAAAGATAGGGAAATTGTTGCTATTGTCAGCTCAGTTGATAAAGACTTCACAGTTTATAAAAAGAGTTCAGTTGTTGAAAAGAAAGGACTTCATACTGCTGGAATTCATATTGGAGAATTTATGAAGAAAGCTCTTGAATCATATACTGAATATAATGGAAGTCATCCAAAGAAAGTGATTATTTATAGAGGGTCTGCTAATACTGGAGATTTGAAAAATATTCAACAAGGAGAGTTAGTTGAAGTTAAAAAGGCTATTGCTGAATATGACCAAAGCATTCAATTTATTTATGTCACTGTGAATAATAAACATGATATGAAATTCTTCTCAAAAGATGGAAATAATTTTATTAATCCATTACCTGGAACTGTTATTACTCAAGGAGTTACTAAAACAGATATATTCCAATTCTATTTAGTTTCTCATGTTCCAAGAAAGGGATTAGTGAAACCATCAATGTATTTTGTTTTAGAAAATACTATTGAAAATCTTTCACAACTCTCTCTTTATAATTTTACATATGAACTTACTCATTTATATTTCAATGGTGCTAATTCTGTTTGTTTCCCAACACCTTTGTATCAAGCTAATAAATTCTGTAAAATGTTAAATGATTGTGGGTATGTTGAAGGTACTAGAAAATCAAGTAGAGGAGGAAATGGTGGTTTCCAAAGAGGAGGAAGAGGCTTCGGTGGAGGAAATGGACGAGGCAGAGGCGCTGAACGTAGAGAAGACAGAAGAAGAGACGATCGTGACAGACATGACTATGATCGTAGAGATGATAGAGATAGAAGAGATTATTATGACCGTAGAGATGATCGTGACAGAAGAGATTATTATGATCGTAGAGATGATAGAGATAGACACGAATATGAGTCAAGTCGACGTGATGATAGAGACAGACATGGATATAGTTCAAGTAGAAGAGATGATAGAGATAGGTATGACTATGAATCAAGTAGAAGAGATGACAGAGACAGACATGGATATAGTTCAAGTAGAAGAGATGACAGAGATAGATATGAAGAATCTAGCCGACGCGATGATAGAGACAGACATGGATATAGTTCAAGTAGAAGAGACGATAGAGGAGATAGATATGATGACCGTTCACCAAGAAGAGATGATAGAAGTTCAAACAGAAGAGATGATAGAGATCATCACCACTAATTGATTAAAGTCTAATCAAAGAAGAATATTTTTAAGCTTTTTATTATTTATTAAAGAAGAAAATTTTTTTAAATTAAAAAAAAATAAATGAAAAAAAAACTTAAAAATTCTGAAAAATCATATTATCGAATGGTATTTCAAATACTATTATTTATTGTCTTTACTTATTCATTTGAAATGTGGCAACTCACTGATATTCATTTAGACCCTATGTATACTGTTGGGAGTGATCCATTAAAATTATGTAGAGAAGGAAAAGGGAATGCAGGTAAGTATGGAGATTATTCATGTGATGCAAACACGGCATTATTAGATTCATTAGTTAAATTTATTAAAAGAAATACTGATGTAAATGGAAAAGTTATGGTTTATAATGGTGATATTGTTTCACGTGCAATCCCTAAATATAATTTAGATTATGTAAAACAATCCATTGTTAATGCTACTGCTTTGTTAAAGAAATTTGAAGACTTTTTCATTATTCCTATGTTAGGAAATCATGATGTTTATCCTGCTAATCAAATGGCTATTAATTCACAATGGATATTTCAATTTGCTGCTGAACAATTTGCTCCTTTCTTATCACAAAATGCTATTGAATCATTTAAACATGGAGGATATTATACTATGCCATTTCCTGCACATTTAGGTATTAAAGTTCCTTTAAATGCTGTAGTTCTTAATACTGTTTTATATTATAATTATAATAAACAAACAATGGATTCTACAGATCCTTTAGGACAGTTTGAATGGTTTAAAACAGTAATGGATGGATACAGAAAGACTGGACAAAGAGCTATTGTTAGTATGCACATATGTCCTGGAGTGGCTGAAAGGTTTAATTATTCAGATCAATTATATCCACAATATAATGATAGACTAGTTGATTCATTAGCAGAGTATAATGATGTTATTCTTGGAGTATTATGTGGACATTTACATACAGATACATTCAGAATTTTAAGTAAAGGAAATAAGAAGGTAATGGCATTTATCGGACCGTCTGTAGACACATGGTTAGGAACATCACCTTCAATAAGAAAATATGATGTTGGAAATGGACGAGGATATATGAAAGAATTTAAGAATTATCACTTCCAGTTACGACCAAAAAAAGATAAATTAAAACCTAAAACAACTATTAAACAACCAAGTGATGGATTTAATAAATGGAAATTCAATTATGGATCATCTTCAGAGTATGGATTAAAAGAATTAAGTCCTAAAGAATTTGAAATTCTTGCAGCAAGAATGGATAAGGATCTTCAATTATTTAATAAATATCATCTTCATTTTAGAGCAGATACACCAGGATTTAATTGCAAAGGGAATTGTAAAAACAATTGTATGTGTGCTGTGAGATATCCAAGACAGAATGAATTTGCAAATTGTGTAGTTTGGAATTAAGTCTTATCAATTCTTTCTTTTGGTTTCAATTGATTGCAATAATTTTTTTTTGTGATTTTAATAATAAATTATAATTTGTGATGCATTTCTAATATTTCTCCAAAGCCAAACATTACAACACTTAACCCATAACCAATTGTTACTGAACGAAAGAAATACATATTAGTGTTAATAGAACAAAATAATAATTCCATTAAATATGTAAAAATTGATATTCCTACTAATACTTTCCAACGAGAATCACTTTTTTCAATTTCCCATTCAATTGGTTGACGAATTGATACATCTTTACAAAGATCAGCAAAAGTCATTTGAGGAGGACCAATATCAGTACAGTCATGAATGATATAAGGACCACCAAATCGAATTTTTTTTGACGTTTTATGAATAAGAGCATTTTTTATAGAAGGACCAGCAACTCTAATACATAATGAAGCAATTAAAAAATGAACAACTGCAGTGGAAAAGAAATAAACTAATATTGGTGGAAGGAATTTATAAACGACTAATGATAATATAAAAGTTACAAAAACAATTATATATGAAATTGGCTGAGAGTTTAAAGGAAAAAATTGAATAGAGATTGTAATCTATTCTCATGAGTTATGTTATTTTTAATATTTAAAAGATAATGAAATAGATAGCAAACATATTCTAATGATGACCCAATTAATGAATCAACTATTCCATGGAAAAACCAAAATGCAAATAAAACTAATAATCCATATTGAACATCTGGAACAGCATACATAATACGTGTTGCATTTCTAAAAAAATGAGAATTTGTATCATCAGATGCACATACTCTCATAAAACATGAAGTTGTTAAAATTGCACCTATTGCTATGTTAAAAGAACCAATACATAAAGGACTATGAATAGGATGTATATATGAAAGAAAACAAAGGAATATCCATACAATAAAAGAATAATCCCAAGAAAGAGTATGACCATCATTTATGATTAATACTAATTCTGAATAAATAAATATATGATCAACTATTCCAGTTTCAAATTGATAAAAAAATTGTAATAAAGAATATATTGATGACATTATTAAAACTACTATGGTTGTTTTCCATGGAATTTGTTTTGTTAAATAAATATGACAAATTGTAGATGATATAATAATTAATGGTAATTGAAATAGATGTTCTAAAAGAATAAGAATTAATGATATAAATAACATAATCATTCTGTTTTGTTTTGATAATTGTTTTTGTGTTATTGGAATATTAATATATTCAGCTACATTTACTGCATTTTTTCCATATAAATTATATAATATTCTTTTATGAGGATCTTCTAAGACTGAATATGCCTCTGCAATAGCATTAAATTCAGTTGAATTTGGATTTCTATCTGGATGATATTGTTTTGCTAATAAATGATATCTTCTTTTAATTTGTTGCAATGAAGAAGAAGGAGACACACCAAGTATTTTGTAGTAGTCATCATTCATTGACTAATTATTAGTTCTTTTTTAATTTTTTATACTAATTAAATATAAAAATGTATATATAACAAAAAGAATTACTACAACATAAAATGAATGACAATACTAAAACTGTTTTGTAAAAAAATTTAATAAGTTATAATCACTAAAGAACTTAAAAAAAAGAAGAAAAAAGAATAAAAATAGGTCAAACATCTTAAAAATCAAAATAGAATGAACGGAGCAAAAAATCAACCAAGTTTGACAAAAGAAAAAAGAGAACAATTTTCTGATGTATTGTATTCAATCTCTCATAGTGAGAAGTACGAAACAGTTTTAAAAGAAGTAATTGAAAATGGAAAAGAAAATGATCTTGAAGCAGTTCTTCAAGAATATGTTGATAAAAGAGAAACAGAAATTCAAACTATTTGTAATGATCAATTCCAAAAATTTATTGGATGTACTGAACAACTAGGAACTGTTAAAGAAAAAATGATTAAAACACAAGAACGATTAGAAAAAACAAGTTCACAAGCAAAAGAGTCAAGTGATATTTTATTTAGTAAAATTAAATTATTAAGTAATAATAGAGTTTCTACTGTTAACATTATGAAAACATTAGGATTTGTTGAAAAATTAAAAACTATATTAGAAACAGTTAAAGGAATTGAAGATGATATTAGTAATGGTCATATTTCAAAAGCTTTCATTGTCTATGATCGTTTAAGAAAATTACAACTATTTGAACAAAATGAATATAAAATTATTCAACTAATTAATTTAAGACTTGAAACTATTAAAAGTAGTATTAAAAATAAAGCTATAAAATTATTTGATAGGTGGTGTGAAGCTGTTAATGAAGATAATGAAAAAATTGGTATTTCAATACTTGACCATAACAAAGAACTTATTGTTAATAATGCTAGTTCTAAAGAAGAAGATTATGATGCTTTTGAAAAATCAGAAATAAATTTTGTTTGGTTATATGAGGCTTATTTTATTCATATGTCTTTTCATACTGAACAAGATTTTATTAATCAGTATAAAGACTTACAAGAACAACGATATACAGCAATTCAAAGTTATCCAAATCAATCTCTTCAACAAATGTTAAGTAGAATGTTAGGATTTTTCGTGATTGAACATCAAGTTCAACAGACAACAGAAAATATTGTTAAATCTGAAGATTTGCAAAAAATGTGGGGAGATGCTGCTCAAAAACTCAAAACATTCTCTTCTGGTTATCTTAGTCTTAAACAAGGACTAGATGTTTTCCTTAAAACTAAAGATCAAATGACATATTTTATTAAAGCTGTTAAGGTTTATGACTATGATGCTTCTCCTTTAGTTGGTGCGTTACAAAGTATTTTTGCTAAATATGCTATTAAAATTGGTGAACAATATTATGAAAGATTAAAAAATGAAATTAAGCCAGAATTATTCCAAGCCACTGCTCCTACTACAGAATTACAAAAACAATTTATGACTCTTATTGAAACTACATCAAATCCAAATATGAAAAGTATTACATTACCAACAATATATTCAAGAGCTTTCTATCTTTGTTTAGAAAAATTGGTACCATTTATTGAGGAACTTGAAAGATATGAAATGGAATTAGACATAGCACTAGAACCGATATGTGGTACAATGCAAGAATATCTTTATGAGCTTTTAAAAATTTATCCTGAATTTTTAAAATCAAATAATAAAGCAACATTACAAATAACATACCAAATTTTGGTTGATTTAGAAGGGTTTGAAAAAACAACACCATTAATTTGTTCATTAATTTCTGACCATTTTGGTAAACGATTTAGTGACTTAACCAAAATTGCTAAAGAGTTTAATATTAAACAAAAGACTGAATCAATTTATAAAGGAGTAAAAGAATGGATTTGTGAAAAATATTTACATACGATACAAGACTTTATGAAAACATGTGATACAATGTCATCAATTTCATCAGAAAAATCACATGAATTTATAGACTCTATTATTAACTTTACTAAAAATCAATTTTCACAATTATCTATTTTATCTCCAGTGGTTGTCTCAGAGATTCAAACTCAAATGTTACAAAAATTAAATGAATCATTAACCAGTCTTATATCTAACTGCCAAAAATTCAATTGTAATTTTATTAAACAATTCCAATGTGATATTAATGCAATTGAAAACTTTTGTATGTCTAATCCTACATTTAAAAGTCAGGTTTATACCTTTGTTTGGTGTAAACAAGTATCAACATTCTTTAATTCACCTCATCCAGAAGAGTTTTTAGTTGAAGAAACAAGAAATAAACTTTATAACAAATTATCTGATAAAACAGAATTAACAACATTAATTAATAAATTTGATACAAATAGTCTCCCAAGAAATGATCCTCGAAAGAAAGCATATAGTACAGTAAAAGGACAACTCTCAAAATTAAAATTTTAATTGAGAATTAAATTAAAAATAATTAATTTAAGTTTTTATGTTTTTCTTAATAGAACTAAAAAATATTAAAAAAACTAAAAAAGGAATATTTAATGTTAACGTTATTGGTCATTGTTTTGTTCTATAAATCAATGGCTTTACCAAAAATATTGGGTCTTTCTATTCGTAATAGTTGGGGAAATAAATACCAAAAAATAGTTGAAAGAAGAGATAACTATTTGTCATTAATAGGTGATGATTCACAATACACTTTATCAAATACCGAGAAGACTCAAGTAGGATATTTATTCCAAGGAAAAGATGAAAGTATTAGTTCTAAATTTGTTTGTTTTTTTTATTTAAATTAATAACATAAATATTTTTTATTTTTGTTATTAAATTAATAAATTTTATTAAATACAATAAAATTAACAGTTGAGAGTTTAACAAATGAATTTATTGAATTATTTGTTCCACTTCAAATTCAAAGAAGAGTTGGTGAAATGGGAATTGTACTTTCAGAAGAGTCTGTTCGTAACAATGATTTAAAAACAGGTAAAAATGGATTAGAAATTAGTTTAAAAATGAATAATAAAGGAAAAGATCAAGTGCTTTTAACTATTTTTAATAATAAAGATGATAGATATAATCAAGTTCATACTTTAACTTGTAAAAGTTTAAAAACTGCACCAAGAAATACTGGGATTTATATTGTTTATAATGGTGAGTTAAATACAATTTCTGTTTGTTTAACTAATTTTCTCTTAATTATTATTCTAAATTACTTATAGTACTAGACTGATCTTTATCTTGACGGTGATCAAGTTAAATGTTCTAGTGAAAATTTTATTAAAATTCCTAAGAAAGTTTTTATTTCATTAATTGGAAATGGATTTAATGGTTTGGTAAAAGAAATTAATATCGTTAATAAACTTACTAAACAACCTAAACAACAACTAATAACAAAAAAATATACCATCGAAGAAATTAAAGGAAAATCTCACAACGAAATTTTATATGAAATTTATGATGGTATCAAAGGATTATATATCCCTTTATTAGATGCTTCAAAACAATCAGTTGATTATGCTCAAACCGTTAATAATTTAAAACATTATGTCAGAGATACATTAATTCCTAAATGTGGTAATGTGTTTGTTTTTATATAATAGTTTAGATCATCTTATCATTCCTTTTATTTGACTAAAACAATGAACATTTTCACATAATATTAACTATTTTAGAGAAGAACCTATTAATATACAAGAAGTCCTTGATAAGGTTAATAAAATTAATATTACTAAAACACAAGACTCTATTAAAGAATTAACCAAATTAGATGCCTTCAATGAACTTAACTTTGTTACAAGAAATCCTACTTCATTTTTATTCTGGTTTATCACATTAGGAGTTCAAGGATTCACTGTATTTCTTCTTTATTTCATCATAAAAAAGAAGAAGAAAATACAAGTTAATATGGAATAATTCAATTTTTAAAAATAATCTTAAAATTAGTTCATCAAAACTTATAATTCTAGCCAAAATCTCAATCTTATTTGAACATTATAATCTCCAGATCACTTTTTTAATAAAAAGGGAAAGGTAAAGTGATATATAAAAGTCAATGTTGAACAAATAAAATATCAAAGCAAGTTATGGAATATCAACCAAAAGTTATCTTAATTACT